AGTATAACACACCCAGCATAACCAAATATCGTACCCATGATCGATACCACACCCATTGTCGCCCACATCAGCGAACTCCTCCGCAGAATCGAACCACCCAGCGCGTTCGACACCACCATCCTACCCGAAGCCCCGAACCAACACTTTGACCCCGAGATCGAAGACGTGTCAGAACCAGCCCCGGATCCTTGGCCACCCGACATAGCGCCACAAATTCAAGCATTTCTGGACGAAGAGCTATCGAAGTTTTCTACCCTCCATGGCACCTCAGACATCGCCGAGCATACCATCGTCATGAGAGATAATCGACCCATCAAGCAACGATACTATCCTAAAAACCCGGCCATGATGCGAATCATCGACGAAAAAGTAGATCAATTGATAACGGAAGGTCTCATCCAGCCCTCCCGAAGCCCTCACAGCGCCCCAATCGTACTCGTGCGTAAAAAGAATGGGAAATGGCGCATGTGAGTGGATTTTCGACAGCTCAACGAACATTCCATCCCGGACGCGTACTCATTGCCCAGAATCCAATACATCTTGATCTGATCTCTCCATCTGAATAATGGATATTGGCATACCAATGGCCAACGGAAGTCGAGAAGCAAAAGCTTTCACAATACCAGGCCGAGGCCTCTATCAATGGAAAGTGATGCCTTTCGGACTACATTCAGCGCCGACAACATTTCAGCGGGCCCTCGACACTGTAATTGGAGCCGATATGGAACCCTACGCATTCGCTTTTCTAGATGATATTATCGTCATTGGGAGAGATTTTAATGAACACCTACACTATCTAAAAGTGGTCTCTTCTCGACTACAAAGAGCTAATTTACGCATAAATTCGGAAAAATGCACGTGCTTTCAAAGCCGGATCAAATATCTGGGTCACATGATCAGCGAAGAAGGCATCCATACCGACCCCGACAAAATTGCCGCCGTCAAAGAACTTAGGCCTCCTACAAACCTGAAGGAACTTCCTCAATGCATCGGGATGGCATCCTGGTACCGGGGATTTGTACCAAACTTCGCGACAGTCGTCCAACCGATGTCCTGCCCACTCAAGAAGGGAAAACCATGGATATGGACCGAAGCACAACAGGCTGCTTTTGACCTACTGAAGAAACTTCTCACTTCTTGCTTCAAACAGTTGCGAGCAACTTAGGAGTTGGCGCAGTTCTCACCCAAGAAATCGAAGGCAAAGAACTAGTCATAGCATATGTCAGCCGACGACCAGGCGGAAGAAAACTACTCCGCTACCGACAAGGAGTGTCTGGCAGTCATTTGGGCCATTCGAAAACTACGCTGTTACCTGGAAGGATACCGATTCGATGTAATCACCGATCTTCTCGCGCTAAAATGGCTAAATACGCTTGACAACGGTGGGTCAATAAATAAATAAATATTTCCTAAAAATATTATCCAACGAAATTTCTTTCCCACGGTACCGGTGCACACCGATAGCCTTACCTGAGACATTGGACACTTGTTGGGAGGCGATTGCGTTAGGTAACCCTCTGTTACCGGGCAATCCACTCGGCAATATATATCTACGTAAGAACCTTCCAAAATTCCGAAATAAGATATCTGTAAGGCATTGGTGGGAAAATCGATGCCCGGCCGATGCATAAAAGGCACTGCCTGGCGTGGACAAGAGGCCGTCGATCGGGAGTCCATCAGCATTAACACGTCGCAGTCAATCGGCAGTCAACTGGGAATCAAGCAATAACAAACGCGCAAGGCAGTCCACCGGGAATCCAGAAGTAACCTACACGCCGCGGCGTAACAACCGAACTAACTAAGTAGCAATAATAATAACCCGACACATTTAAAACTCTAAAAGAACCAAAAAGTGTTGTGAATAGCTAATCGTTCTCTTTCAGTACCTGGCAAAGTTCCTGATTTTCCCCGATAAAGTCCTCGTGAATTAAAAATATCTTGTGATTCAGTACCCTGGACGGACTGATGCATACCTCAGCCTGAGATATGTCCTCACAGTAAACTTGCTTTTAAACCCGCAAAGGAGTCTACAGCTCAGTGGGTTGTCTTATAGGACCTCAGCTGTTAGGTCCTGATGCGTTTTAGCATCGGCAATCTCTGTGTATTCTGGGAAGTGACGTCCCATTAGTGCCTTCACTGCCCTCAGTCCACTGTCCGTCGTTTCGCTTAATCTGATCTTAATCTGTTGCTTTGTTAGCAACTTCCGGGTTCTAGCCGTTTCTGAGAATTTGTCGATATTGGAGCAAAAGTTTCTCCACGACTTTCTTTGCGTATTTTCTTCTCCTCATCCCTGAGGAGGATATTATATTCCTCAGTGATTAACTTATCGTTCGCCTGTTTGGCGATTTTGAAAAATTCCATGAGGTTATTTCTTTAAAGTGATAGGTCCCGGTTCCATCAGAGTGGCTCGGTCCTCTTTTTATACCCGTACTCGAAGAGTTAAGGGCTATATTGTATTGGTGGTAAAAGTGAATGTGTGCAACTCAGGGAAGAAAACGTTTCCGACCCCATAAAGTATATATATTCTTGATCAACATCAATAGCTGAGTCGACACGGCTATGTCTGCCTGTCCTGATGTTTTCAGAAACTATAAAAGCTAGAGCAACCAAATATTTTTTCCAGACTCATGTGTTATCACACTGTAACAAGTGTTCCTTCCGCCCCTACAAAAAACGAAGTCTGTGGCAGGCACAACTTTAAAGATACGATAAAACTGAAAAAGCAGTATCGTAGAAAATTACCATATCTACCATATTGCTGAATCTGTATCAGATCGGATTATTATTATAGCCAGAATAAAGAAATTAATTTTCACTTGCTTGCCCTACCTCCTTCGGAGCTGCAGACGCTACTCATTCTCTTTCTCGCTCGCACGCTCTGTGCTCTGAGCAATGCGCAACCTTTGCGGAGAAGATGTAGAAGATATAGATGTACATTGTGTATGTATAATATACATTTCAGATGTAGATGTAGATAACAGATGTAGCAAAAAAATGTAAAAATATAAAATATTTCAAATTCTACATAAATTATAAGCTCACAAATTTATATACTAACTGAGTACGGGTATAAAAGTATCTAGGTTAGTTTATAATATAAACTCTAGGAACGACTCACCTCTTTCATTTACATCGGGGCTTCCCCACACGCTATGCTGGTACAAGATGTTGCTGGTATTTCGGGCTGGTGTACGCCACCAGTTCTTTAGCTCTTCCAGTGGAGCTGGCCTGCCGTGTGCCATATAGAAGGAAGCTAGGTCCGCTAGCTGGGCGCTAGCTGGGCGGCCTCCAGAATGGTATCCAGACCGCGGTCCTTCTCGACTTCGCCTGTCTGCAGGATGTGCACATCCTTGTCCTCGGGATGTCGCTTCTTAGGGCGCAGGTATACGCTACCTATGCCCCACGCCATCTTCCCGAATCTGCAGGTCCTCTGCCTCCTTGCTGATTTGGAGTATCGAACATTGGCCTTCTTCGTTGGGTAGTGGGCTCCCAATGTGCAGGATCCTTCAATTCGCCGTTGGCACATCCAGATTTTGCCGCTGCAGGAGCTTCAGCGCCCGGTTCCTTTGGTTTCTCGCTGACCTTCTCCTTTGGTTTGGGCTCCTTCGCCGCTTTGGGTGGGGGGCATTCCCCCGTGGGCTGTTGCCGTTTGCTCTCCGGAGTGTCCTTGATGGACATCTTCTCCACCTTGTTGGCGAATCCGCCGTTTGACGACCTAATTTAGGGCACTTGCAGCCTTCCTTCTTCAACCCTTTGCTCGGCCCAGGCTAGCTTGACTTTCTCTTCCTGAGAGATGTCCGCCTTGCCTTAAAGCCGACTTGAGGGCCACCTTGTACTAAGACGTAGCCTTCATCCCCTCCCTGGAACGTTTTGGACCTTCCCTACGCAGGGAGATGGTTACTGGTTCAGGCGAGCGGAGAAAGCTGTCTTCCTCCGACTTTCTGAACGACAGCTCGCTCTCCAGGTCCGAGTCTGTATCTACTACTGCACCCTGGCGGCTCAGATTGGAGTGAGTCCGTTTTATGGCAGTAGCATTGAAACTGATATTACCTGCTCCCGCCATATCCGAGGTGTGACCGCTGGCAACACGCGAGAGGATCATCGAAAGGAGCATTTCGATGACCGCCGGTGGTAGCAGTCACGCTTTCCACCGACGCACAGTAGGGACCTCGTCAGGATTGCTAATTACAGTTATGCCGCACACGGCAATGTTGACTTTATATGGAACTGCACATACGTTTTTTTTTCATGTCACTGTTATCGATGTAGAATCCGGATAACTCAAAAGATCAATAATGAAATTTAAACATAGGTAAAGGAATATTCAAAGAGCATGTACAAAAAAAAATCTCGGGAAAACCCTACATTTTTTAAATTTCAAGTTAAAGTTAGAAAAAAAAACAAAAATTGGATGTTTTGGAAAATAAGTTTTTCTGTAGAACTGTATACGGCCCGGTTTTTATTAAATATTGATAAAACTGAATTCACCTAGTTAAAGATACTTAAAACAAAATAATACCTCATATCATATTATACTTGAAAAATGCAGTATGCCAATAAAAGTTTAATACATTTTTGTACACGGAAATAACTTCCTAACCAAAAATCAGATTTACTTAAATCTGAATTTTGAATTGAATTTGAATTTTTAAAAGCTCTGAAAAAGTCTCTATCGCATTCGTGTATTTATTTTATTCAAAGGCTACAATGTGTTACGTTTCGACTGACATACCAATCCGTGTTTGACCCTTCTCGCAGTTTATGTGGGCGGTCTATACGGTCTATCCGGTAATATTGTTCGGGGGAACCACCCCCAAGTGGTGCTTACCCGACAGCCACCTCCAGCCATGGCCCCCAATGCCTTAGCTAGACCCTGCGTTACCTTGGACAGAGCAGATAATGCATTGCCAAGCCTGCACTCTCGTGGAGGGTTCTGATGAAGGATTTTCGACAGCCAAAAGAAAAAACAATGCTTTAAATACATTTAATATTAAATCCATGCTCCGAATATGGCTTAAAAAAATGAGAGACTACTGCCCTATCTTCAAACTAGGTGACATCCTCTGACGCCCGCTGATTATGCGCGGAATCGTTACATAAAAAATCAGGCATCGGACATGATAACGATTAACTAACTTATTTTAACTTAACATGTATAATTTTAAATTATTTGGATGAAGTCTGATCACAAATAGAACAAACTTTATGGGAAAGTAATATTCGTAATGTTTTAAGTCTGTTTTATTGGTGTATTTAATCAAATAAAGAAATACAAATAGAGAAATTCAAGCGAAGCGATTTCTGTGGCACCCCTGTATATGCACATATATACTTTTGCAGCAGCGTTTGCTGACGCTTTCTCGCATCTTTGCTTTCCTTATATTTCGCGTTCTAGTCAAAGCCTCGCTTAGGGCACGGGCAATCCGGCTCGCCTGCCTTTGAATAGTCTTGTTACGGCACTCACTTCTCGCAAATCGTGGAATTTATCTTCAATCTGACACATTCTTGAACCGACACCGACTTGAATCGATCAACTGACGAGGCGTGAACTCGCGCTATGGCTATTGTTCTGCAGCTATATTTTTTATCCATAATGCAAAATCCTCGACTTTTTTCTAAATATATCGCAAATAAAGCCACAGGAAAGGTACACATTTTTGTATTCCGCCAAATTCTACACAAAGCTACTGTGTGCATAATCCGCTAACTTTAAGAGTGCACCGGTAAATCAGTATTGTAAAAATATAAGTTAGATGAATTTTAAAATTCTTTAAAAACTTTGTGTGTGTATGCCAAAGCAAAATGCAACAAAGCCCATAGTGTTTTGGTGACTCAACCTTTAAACCATGCACATATCTCTTATTCATTGTTTGGTAGTATAGTTTCTTATATAGTCTTTATATATGCAAGTTAATTTATTACATTAATTTAATAGTAAATAATTTTCAATGCATTGGATATTAGCCCGAATTAATCTGCCCTACATTTTCATCACTAAATACTATTTTTTACATGGAGTTTACTGTTTGTTTTGAACCATTAGTTCCCAATCTTGTATTTTTAGTAGGGATCCTTAAATAAGATTATATAGGAAGTAGTCAAGGTCCTAGCAAACACACTTAGCCCACTCCGCTCACGCAATGCTACGGATTCCTTGATAGTTTCTTATGTAGTAGTTATATACGTTAATTTATTACATTTACTTAATAATAAATAATTTGAAATGTATTGGATTTTATGCTCTACATTTTCATCATTAAATACTATTATTTTACATGAGACTTATAAGTCCAGATACATTATCTTTGTGGCCGATAATGCCCCACAGAGACTTAAAAAGCTTGCGGTGTAAATAACAGCTGTTGTAGTACCCGATAGTTTAATAATTGTACCCATACACATAGATAAAATGAATTGGGCTAAGAATACCATGCTACTTATAATGGCAATATCAGTGCCCAAGCCTCTTACTCCTGAGCCATGTTTTGCTTGTCCATTTTCATCTAACTCAAACTGAAAACAATAATTTTATTCATATCTGATTAAAACTTATTTATGTACATACTTACCGTAGACAGATAATGGTAGTGTGCTACAAGTAAGTATGGCATGGTGAAGAGAGTAGAATACATAACACCCGCTGTCCAGCTAAATAGTATGACACTTATTTTGGCTCGAGTCAAGGCCATTAAGGCCATTCCAGTACAATAGAAACAAAGACCTCCAATGTATACAATCTTGGCCCTTAAAGAAATATATAATGAGGTGATTTTTTGTCAAAGTGCTTTATAAATGTGCAATTACCTAAATCGTTGAATAAGCTTGTCTATAACAAGGGAATAGCAAGCACATGACAGTGAATACATTGCCATTCCCCAACATCCGAAACGAATGCCCTCTTCGTAACGGATCTGAGGGTTTGAGCCTTCCGTTGCCTTTGGGTCACCATTAAATATAGCTTCGCCCACGAAATCAGTAAAATAAAGTGAGTAGCAAACATGCGCCATCCAACAAAATAGATTCGTCAGGCATACCATTCGCAAGGAGTATGGCATGTATATAATGGATAGTAAATAGTGTGACAATGATTCTATTTGTACGGAGTTTTGAGTCTGTTGTACGTTTTCCACTTCAATTTTTTCTCTTGATTGGTCTGGAATTTCCGTGAATGAAGTTTCATCAGTATCCTTCAGTGTTGAGATGTGATCTGCTGTCGTTGCAGTCGTAAGCTTAAAATAAAAAATTTCCAGCAGAAATCAATAGAAGAAGTATGAATTTACATTGCCATAGTGGACGCGAGCCCGCGTCCGTGTCATGATGTTGAACTTTATATATTGAACTACATTTATTCGAAAGCTGTACGCACAGTTTTTTGACTTCATTTATTTCAGTTTTCAAAATATATAATCTCTGAAGAAATAAACATAATTTTATGAAAATTTTGTTTGTTTTGTTCTTTTAAGCGGACACATTCTGTTCCTTGTTAGTAAATAAAATAAAATAATAAAACTTTTTTAAAATTTTTAGTGTAATGTTGCTGTAGGTGTTGCTACCACGAAAGGAAATTACCCGTTTTTGTTCAAATATACATTAAAAAAAAAATGAATTCGTTTTATATTTTCGTATTGAAACCTAGAAACGAGTTCATATTTATAATAAGGTATTTTGTTTTTTAGTTATTAAATAATTAACAATTGGTGAAAACTAGGAAGTTCAGCTAAGGTTGATATATTTAGTTAACTTGTTTGCAAAAACTTGTGCAGTTTTTTTGCTCCCAATAATTGATTAGTGACGATATTAATGGTATATTTATATATGCAAAAGATTTCACAGCATTATCCAACTGATTGCGCAAAAAAAATTTTTTTTAATTTTCTTGGTTATACATTTTTTAAATTCGTTACCAGCCTCTAAAAAATTTGTTTAAGTATAAATAAAAACATCAATATAACTATATAACCATAGATAACAAAATTATAAAGTGTCCCGTTTAAATTTCTAAAAAACATTTTTGTGCCTCAACCTAGAACATATATAAAGTCAGTCTCAACCTGTTGGAGATAAGACGTGCTACTTCCGACCTACCGTAGTGCAAACCACCAACAACAGCTCCCTCCAGCTTATCAGCAAAAAAGAAAATAAGTGCACAAAGCAGAATACACAAAAGACAAAAACCGCACACACAACAGGCACAGAAAACGTAGTTTCACGTGCCGGGCGACAGCCCAAAAAAACAATAGCAATGGACAAACCACCCGACATAGGTAGAATATCAACACACCACCAGCGACAATCTTTTTTGAGTACGGGTATACAAATCCATCGACTTTGCATGAGGAAGAAAAGTGGAATCATGTTAAACACTCGATCTGGCTACCTTTTAATCAAAACAAAAAACACTTTACAGGCAAATATCCTACTTAAACTGAAAAACATGACAGACATTGAAGTAAAAGCCACCGAACATAAGACCATAAATTCGCCCCTACATCCCAATCCTATTAAGATGCAGAAAATGCCTACGTTTTGGACACCCGACTCCAACGTCTAAGAGCCCAAAAAATCTTTGTAAGAACTGCTCCGCCAAAGTAAACACAGAGTAAAACGAGAAATGCAACAACTAAAAAAGCTGCATAAACTATAAAAACATCTCCGAAATCGACTCTAAACACAGCCCACTAGACCCAGTGGCCGAACATTTAAAAAACAACAAAAACGGGTAGCAATCAAAGTTACAGAAAAAGTAGATCAGAAATCAGCACTAAAACTACTTGTTATTGGCGAACTCCAAATAATTATAAAAATCCTTACAAGAAACACATATAAATTATACTTACTTATCACATCCCCACACCCATAAACTATACACTCATATTAAAGAACACCTCGTCTTGCCACGGAGGCGTAGCTTCTCTGACTCACAAATCACTGCAAACTCGAGAAATAATCCTTAGCGACGATTTTGACGCAGTATGCATAGAACTGAATTCAGACCTATCTCAGCCTAAATCGCCCCATACAAAGCCTTTTCACTGCAAAACCTTCGGGCCGTACTGGACACCTCACATATTCCCACCTTAACCACTGGCGACTTCAACGGTTGGCACATTTTTATATTGATGATTTTTATAAAGCTATTCACATATGAAATTTGATTTTACCTTTGAGGCAACCGATGTACATATTTAATTTAACTAACAACGCGCACTGTAATCACTGAATCCTCTTACCTGTCTTTAAAAACACTGAAAAACCACTTTTAAAATGAATAAACATGTAAATAGACGCTCAAATCAAAAAAATCACATCCGCTCGCAACAAAAGATTGCACCAAATAATCGGTTTTTCTCCCCTCATCCCTTTGAGGAGACGAAATGCGCGAGAGTAGAAGAGTTAGGGTCGAATGCAGGTAGAGAAAACTAAAAATATGAGAGAGAGGGAAATCTATTGATATCTGCTTCTCTTTCTTACGAGTCAGCTTCGATCTGCAGCAGTTGAAGCTGGTCAGAATTCCATGCTGACGTCGATGTCGCTGCCTTTGTCAACGTCGAGCCAGAACAACGACATGTCACCAACACACTTCAACACACACAACACACTAACAAACATTGACCTAACTTTCAGCAGCCCAATACTTCCAAATCGACAGCACATGGCATACACAGAAGATAATCTTTTTGGTATCTTTTACAACTCATTTCACGTAAGCCTATTTTCATTGCCGACAAAACAAATTAGCACAAATTTTCGAAACCAAAGCATAGTATCCAGCACTGCGGAGTCGAACAATTCCTGTCAAACTCCATATAAAATAAACTGTGACAGGAATGTTTCGTTTACGTATTCCTGGAGTGTGTATCCAGCAACACGAGCGGAATCCACAGATTTATATCGATAGTTGCCTATCGGGACCGTGTGTGGACTGAGAGAACAGCTGATACCCAGCTCAAGAATATATACTTTACAATTCTTCCTGAAGTGAATGGTGCAAGATGTAGGCAAAAACTGTCCGCAAAACCAAAATGAGAGATGAAAATTATTCTTTTTTGTTTTGCAACAATATATGCCTCCACCAACACAATCACTTCATCATCATTTGTTTCCTTTTTTAATTTTACAGTTGCCTCTGTTTACAAAACACAGCTGATTCATCAACCCTTTTTTAGCCATGTCCCACACCCTCACGGAAAACCTAGCAAATTCCTGGCCGCAATTTTCCGCGGTGCTGGAGACAGTCCTTAACAGAAGAATACTCCGCACAACGACAACCAAGCTCAAACATAAACAAAGAAGCGGCAACAATACACAAAATCATCCTTTCCATCGCTCAGAAGACAATACCTCAAACACACCCGACGAGAAAACTAACTGAGCAAATTAAAAAACAATCAGATGTAAGATACGTAAGTTATGCGAAAAAGAGAAGAGCTACCTCTAATAAACGCATTAAAAAAATATAAAATTTTTTGGAAATATTTTGAAATCTCTCCCAAATTTTTCTATTCGATTTTCTTTCTTGATGAAAAAAGTTTAATTTTGTCGAGTAGTGTTATCAGCCAACAGTAAGACATCTTAGTCGATTACAAACGAGGCGATCAACGTTAGTTGTCAGACGTGCGCTCCATCACCTGGAAACAAATCCCATCCATTTTGAACGTTATCTATCTTATTAATTCGTTTACGAACATCGAATCGAAAGCGAATAAAACAATCCCAGCGGCTCAAAAGTATTAAGTACAAACAAATAAACTAGATTCACATAAGGAAGATCAAGCTGCCGCCACAGAGGCATTAAATGTTCAGATGAAATTTCGAATGTCATTAGAAACTTAAAAAAAGATTCCCAAGAAAGGAAACAAAGCATAATTCCAAACCAGAAAAACGGCACTCGAGGATGCATAGAATTCCAAAGATACTAAGAGGATGATTAAGCTAATGCAGGCATTAAATGTTCATGTAGAACAAAATGTTGGTCCACAATAATATGATCGGAGCCACCAGATCACTGAGGCTTACAATAAATTGGTCAGTAAAACACAATCTGAAACAATTGTCATAGGCTTGATGTGCGTTCAGGTGATTTGATAAAATGGTTATGGACTTAAGCTCAAGATCCCCATTCGACTAGCCCAGTAGAGGGGAGATAGGACATGAAACCCTACCTGATACTATAAAAAGAGGTGTAAGGAGCATTACCAAAAACCAGCCCCATCAAGCAATAGTCACGTGCAGCTTCTACGCATCAGCACTTTAAAGTTTGATATACTAAACATACTAAATTGATCCCAGTTCTATGACCTGTTCTCATATATGATTCATGAAAAAAACATGCCCACAGTACGAAAGAAATGGTATATAAATACAACCGTAACTAAAGAAGCAGCAAGATTAAACCAACAAAGCGATCTAAAAGAAGATAACTATGATAACTATGTATTGTAAGGATGTTTTCTCAGGCCGGGGTACAGCCTCTCAGTCTGCCCAGGGCTCGATCCTAATACAGCCTATTTGTATTTTTGGGACCTAGAGATTGGAATGAGTGGCGAGGGAAAAGTGCGGCGCTCCGCGCGTGGGATCGGAACGGGGCCCTTGCAGCCAGGCACGGGAAGGGAATGCTCGGGGGGAATGGGGAACCCAGTTTCGGGGGGTGCCGTGCGTGCCCGCGTACACACCTTTCAACTGGTCCTCCGGGGGGAAAAAGGCGAGGTTTTCTACGGGGAAGGTGCTACGGGAAGGGGGAGGGGCGGACCACAGTCACCGTGCGTTGACCGCGTACCGATGCTATGGCCCGTCTCCCCAAGGATAGTGGTGGAGAGATGGAAGGGTACAGTTTGGTGGCAGCCGATACAATAACCAAGAGCGTTTTATATATATTCTTTATTATATCAGTGGTTGGGTCCCTACCTATTGCACCGTCTCTTTCTCTCCCTACACACCCACGTAAGTGAGCCGGTTTACCCGTCCTCTTTTCGCCTGGTTTGGTGTTATTTCGCTGATTCTCGGTGGCCTCCGTGTTGGGGAGATCTTCAGCGGGCAGGATTCCGTCGGTGTCGTTGGCTGGGTCCTGTGTTGTTGTCGTTGTTGCAAATCCTGGGGGCGGGGGTCACGGCGATCGCACTAAGTCTGGACCCTGCTCTGGAACTGAACTGCTCGCTTCTGACACCATTTTTCGACTCCCGGCTCGCATCTTTTTTGACGCGTGCCAAGCCGCATGATCCGGCCTGTGCCG